TTTTTTCCTCTCTCGGGGGGAGATATTTGGGGGGAGAGAGAGAGAGAGAGAGAGAGAGAGAGAGAGAGAGAGAGAGAGAGAGAGAGATAGACAATCATATAGTGTGAGGGACTGGCATGGAAAAATGTGCAGGTGTGATCAATCATTTGTCTTGAGGTAGGTCAAGACAGCATCATTGAAGAAATTATAAGAGTTGTCTAAAATTTGACTAGGCAACTCCCAAATGTCTGAGAGAACATAGTAAAAGTATTTAATAATTTAAATTTTTAAAGTTTTTTATTTATTAATAGTTTTGATCAATATCATAACTGCATGAGGTAAGCCAGGTTCATTGTTCCTATTTTAAAGATAAGGAAATGGAAGCTGAGAGGAATGTGACTTCTCCAAGGTCTTATGACAGGTAATGTGGTAGGGACATCATAATTGACATCCCTAGATTGTAACTTTGTCAAGTACTTCTTCTATTACACCATACTGCACTTTTTCCCTTATGGAGACAGAAATACCAAGGACAGATGGGTATGGAGTAATAAAATTTTCACTGACCCCTATAGGAAGAGAATGGGTGTTTTTCAATGATGTTTTTAAACTATGGAAACTCCTTGATAATCCTGGGTTAATATTATCTGATTCTAAGACCTCATGAACGCATTCTACATTCCATGTAATACCTTGCAACAGATGACCAAGCATGCCACCTAGAGCTGTTATTACTTCAGAGAATGGGCTTTATCAGAAAATCTTGACACAGATTTCTGGAACTGTCGTGACTCCCTCACAGAAGAATAACAGTGACCAAAAGCTGTCATATGATTAGCATAAATAAAATAGAAAGTATCTGGGAAGATTATGGTCAATCAAGACAAAAGGCATGAATTTAATGTAGAGATTTATTAAAGAAAAAGAACTTCATTTGTTTTCTAAGAGTTGATATTATGAAGTCACAAAATTTACACTGGAAGAGAAATAACCTTGTGTTTGGGCTACTGTTTATGAGTCAATGCCTTTACTGATAATCAGAATTGAGAGACTGAGATGAACCCAATCATTTTTCAGTGGTGGCTAAGAAATATTGTACACACTCTGGAAATAGCTATTGTCTTTTTAAAAAGTTCCTTAACATTAATTTCATTTAAAAATATTTTATTTTTATTGTATTTTATGTGTGTGCACCTGACTGGATGTCTGTGTACCAGGTGTGTGTAGCAGGTGTCTACAGAGGCCAGAAGAAGGTGTTTTATCTTCTGGAACTAGAGTTACAGGCAATTGTGAGTTGCATGAAGTGGGTGCTGGGAATTAAACTCAGGTCCTCTGGAAGGGCAGCAAGTGCCCTTCTGAAGAGTCACCTCTTCAGCCTCAACACTGTGTGTGTGTGTGTGTGTGTGTGTGTGTGTACATACATGCATGCATACACAGGGTGGGGGGCCACCAAGCACATGTGGAGGTCAAAGGATAACTTGTAAGAGTCAGTTCTCTCCTTCCACCATGTGAGTCCTGGGGATCAAACTCAGATTGTCAGGCTTGGCAGCAAGCACCTTTACTTGCTGAGCCATCTTGCTGGCTCTTGTTTTGAGTTTTGACCTGTGTGAATGATTTTTTTTTCTGAAATAATAAACTCTTCTTAACTTTCTTAACTATTCAATGCAAATCCTTTTTTTGACACTTGTAAGGCTACCTTGAAACAGATAATCTAAATTTGTATTATAAAATATCATGTAATCAAGTAACCTATAGATTTAAAATTATTTCCTGATAAGTTTTTCTCCCTTTGGGCATTTGGTTTCTTTTCTTTTTTGGTTTAACTTAGTGCACAGTGACTTAACCTATTCCTACCTCTTAGCTTGTCCAGAAGAGTTTAGAGTCTAACTCACTGCTTCTATGGGAAGTCCTTTATTTGCATAAAAGAGACAATGCATTACCTTGAGATAGTGATAATTCTATCTGCTTGGCTGTCTAACAGGCACCTCAAACTTAACAGGTATAACTAAATTGATAGGTTTTGGTCGTTTAAACTAAACATTATTGGCATATATCATTGTATATAATAATTGGTTTCAGAAAGACAATTTCTTTCAAGTATATTGTATACTTGGACAGTATTCATCACCCATACCCTCCATTATTACTCCTCTCCTCCTTCTGCTACTAGTCTAGATTCTTGATTCTTTCCCCATAAACCTCTATACTCCTCCTTCCTTGTTTTTCCCCATCACAGAAATACAATTCTACTCGTTTAGTTTCTTATGTCCCAAACTCTGGAGTTCATTCTTGGCTCTTCTATATCTCTCATATCCTTCAATTAATCTCAAAATCCTATCAGCTATTCTTTTAAAATCTTTTCAGAACCAGACCACTTCTTACCAGCCATACTACCTCCATCTTATTATAAGCCACTGTCATGTTTGTATATCATCTCCTTGGAGTCCCCCTGCTCCTGTCCTTACTTTCTGAATCATTTTGAATAGAAAAATCAGAAGGATTATGTTAAAACCGAGGTCAAATCCTGTTATTCCTCTGTTTAAAGTCATTCAGTGTTTCCCAATCTCATGTAGAATAAAAAAACAGAATCCTTACTTTGGCTCAAAAAAGCTCTAGATTGGATTTTACTGTCTGCCTTCATCTTCTTTCTCTTTCTTACTCTGATTTCAGTCATACTGATATTTCTGTAATGTATCAGACATTTGTTTGTTTCAGAACTCTTGCATTTTCTGTTGCTTTTGTCCCCTCATTCAGGTCTATTCTTAAATGTTCCCATATCACAGAGACCTTTCTTGATCACCTTAGAGCATATTCTAGCAGTCTTTTGTCTTCTTTCTCTTCTACATTTTTCTTCACAGCTCTTATCACCCTTTCCTATATATCTGTCTCTGCACTAAAAAAGTAAAGCCCCTTGGGGAAAAAGGAACGTTTATTGAGGCTCTGTCATGTACCAGGTCCTTTTCTAGGCAGTAAGAAAATAAACATTAATCAAACACAAATATTCTTATGGTACTTCTATTCTAGTGTTACATAAACTGGCTCTATTTACTTAGTAAATATTTGAAGAATGTCTTAGATAAATACAGCATATATTTGGTAAAGCAGCAAGAATGGTTAAACAGAAGAGGATTTAAATGGCTTGGCACCTTTAACTCATTGGGACACTTATCGCTTCTAATGAAATGGTTCTAGTTTTCCAGGTGAAAAAGCAAGTAACTTCAACAATTCTGGGATCCTAAGGTACTCCTTACTCTGAACTCCAAGGCAGTCCTGGCCCCATTTCTTCAATTGCTCCCATTTTTTGGAACTGCTTCCATCATTGGCCCTTACTCACACTGACAAATGTCAGCTTAAAAATCTCATTTTCATCTTTATAAAATCATATTGCTTTCTAATCCCCTACAGACACATATCATCGGCAGATGTAGCCAGACACACACTGTCTTTGAATCCAGATGGCTTTGAAACAGCCCAGAGATATGCATCCTATAAACCTCTGAGCCAAAGGAGTAGCACTCTGGCAACGGACAGAGTAATACTGAAATGAGTGATTCAAAGACCTTGACCAGGAGCTAGTTCAACATTCTGCCATCCTACAGAATATACTCCTAGTTAACTCAAAGCTATTATACCCATAATGGTGATGGTTTTCACTGGTGAGTCACTGCCTAACTGAATAGGGCATTATCAAGTTATGTTACACCACCAACAGTGAGGTGAAAACTAGCCCACATTTTAGTCCTATATAAAGGAAAATGAATTCCTGTCCTCAAGGAACTTACAGTGTCATGGTACGAGCTTCAGTTCAAATTTTGACAAAGTAACAGATATCAACATTGTTATGATTATCATTGGAAATAATATATAGAAGTGCCAACATGGCAAAATACTCTAACAATTCCAAAATTAGGACTGAATTCTCTTGGTTATCCTGAGATATGGTATGACCCCAGAAAAGAGGAGGTCTTTTTGAGAGTGACTCTGAGAGATATATATGCTACCATGGCCTTCACACACACTGAGAAGGGACTGAACATTTCTGAGGTTAGAGGATGGAGGACCCTTGTATATATAATTAGGTCTATGTGAAAGGTTAGGCTGGAGATATCTATGATCTTCAGATAATATATGAGATGACGAAGGGTATTTTATTAACATATAACTCTAAAGTGATAAAGGATCATTTCAATAGACTTACCATCTGCTCCTTCACTGCTTTTGCTTCTTTTATTGCGGCGAACACGCCTACTTTCCTCTTCAGAATATGATTTTTCATCAGGGAAGAAGAAATTCAGGAGGGCCATCTGTAAAAATACCAAGTAGATGAGTCAAGGGTTGACCTTAGTTATCTATGCCCAACATAAAACAAAACTAGCTCTCAATAGATGGTCCACCTTTACATTAAATTCAATATATCTAAAGTCTGAGGCTATATTTCCCTCCACTGCATAAATGACTTTATTTCTGACACATTATTGCAATCATGTAGGCATAAAATTTTGGTTAATCTTTGAATCCACTCTCTTCTGTTCTGAATATTTAGTGAACAATCCATCAGGTTACATTTGTCCAAAAATTTGGGGGGGGCACAAATTTCTATTACAGAAATTTCTATTACACAAATCTCCCATATTACTGATGTCCATCCAAAAACTACCCTTGAATTTGCTATTCCCCCTTGGATGTTATCATATACCGGACTTTTGCCATATTCTTATTCATGCTGTGTTTTCTTATTTTTTCCTAGATTGCTGAACACCCAATACTGGAGTGCTATGAATGTCGATGATCTTAATGGAATTAGTCATAACAAAGTGCACAATTATTCTCTGCCTTTCCTAAACTCCAACACCACAGGTGGTCTATAAGACGAATGTCAGTCAAATACAAAAGTTGATTATTTTTCCTATTTTGTTCAGTATTTTTACAGAAAAACCTATGCGTGTCTATTCTCAACTATTAAATGTTCATACAATAATGTATCTGAATAAAATAAGTGTTTTGTTAAAAATATTCATTTTGCCATTTGGTCCTAAGCTGTCTTATTACTCTTAGAATAATACAGTATGTTTCATATGTAAATGGGTCTGGTTTCACAAACAATAATCATAGCTTAAGTATATACTTACTGAATGGAGTCAAAATCTTTTAGCATGAGTACTTTACTGCAGTGAAAAGATGTGCATAAGGTAAACAATGGACAGACTTTTAGACCTGAGTGATTCTAAGCCCAACTGTACCACTTACTAGCTGTGTAACTTTAAAAATTCCTTAAGCTTTAATTTCCTCATCTGAAAGTAGGGACAACTGCACTTTGTTCATAAATCAGTTCTAGGATTAGCACATTACCCATAATATAATACTTATTCAATAAATGTTAGCTATTGCTATTATTTTTATTTAGTTTTTTAGGTTTCAATGCTTTATTATTATTTTAAGAGTTTCTTAATGACTACCCATTGAATTGATATATCTTTCTATAGTGAAAATAATTAGATTCTTTTTCATTGATACATGATATTTCTATTTGATATAGAACCTATTTTATTCAATTTTGCCTACTGAAACAAACGGTTTTCGTTTCAGTGAAAATATGATGAAACTAAATTATTTTGAAACTTAAGAAAAAGGAGAAACGAATGTGTTTTCATTCTAGTGTTACTTCAAAAAATAATAATTTCAGAGTCTTTATGTCTGGTGCATATCCTATTAGTTGGGAAAATGGGTTGGAACCAAGCCCTAACATTGTACACAAACTTTCTTAAAATTCCAATATTTTTTATAGCAAACAATTATATCCAATAGCTTTAAGACACAGTCATCTAGCAGGATACATTCATTTATTAAATATCAAATAATAAATATAAATTAACAATCACACTGCATTTCAAAACATTTAGGTTCACATGGAATGGCCATTTTTCAGGGAGGTCCCAGAGGCTTCTAAAACTATACAGGCTATGGCCATGGCTTTCGGTTACCCACCACAGCTAGATGGTAAGACCCTATAGATGAAGATACCCACCACACAATTTGCTTATAGGACTCAGATAAATCAAATTTCCTTCCTACTCTCTAGCTCTCAGAGTACAGGAAGGTGCTATGCAGGCTGCTGGAAGAAAAGTTATTGATGATCCTACCCAGTTGTGGAAATATGCATGCCACAATATTAACCTTCCAGACAAGATAAGCTCACTGGTGTAATAGTAGGGGGTAATTCTTGTAGTTAGCTTCAGCTATCAATGTGACACAAACCTACCAGGGAAGAGGGATCTCAGTTAAGGAATTTCTTCCATCAGAATTCCCTGTGGGCATGGCTGTGTGGCATTTTCTTGATTGCTGATAGAGGTAGGAGGGCCAGCACATGGTGGGTGCTAACATCCCTGGGCAGGTGGGCCTGGGCTGTATAAGAAAGGAAGCTGAGCAAGCCAGGGGGAGCAAGCCAGTAAGCACAGTTACTCCATGGGCACTGCTTCGGGCCTGGAACCCTTGAGTTCCTCTCTTGAATTCCTTCTGATGGACTGTGACCTGGGAGTTGTAAGATGAAATAAATCCTTTCCTCCGCAAGTTGCTTTTAGTCGTATGGTATTTATCACAACAACAGAAAGCAAACTAGGGCAGTAACCAATTGCTTTCTGATTCAACTTGAGGACTACCTCACAGGAGGGAATAATTGCTTGGTACTGTAAACCTGGTCAAAAGTCCATGGCTAAAGAAGTTGCAGGCCCTGGAGGGTGGGGGCACTTATTGTTGATATCTTCCTAAATGGACATGTAGTCCAACTGCCTTCTAAATATGTCTGTTTTAACCTATAGACCAGTGCTGCTCTCACTCTTGGTCAGAGAAGCTTTTTCTCCAGTGGGTGGCAATTAATGTAGAGACTCATAACTGGTTAAAGGGCTGAGAATAAGTGACTCTGAGTGCTCATACCTAAATGAAAATTTATATCACTTCCTCCAATGCCCAGGGAACATCTTCAAAGAGGGGACAGACAGAAAGAATAAGATCTGGAGCTTGAGAAGTAGTGCTATGAAATGCTGTCTTCGGGATACGATATGGCCATTGCATTCATGACAGCAGCTGTGGCTACCTGCACAAGATTGGATTCTTCAGTAAGATTGGATTCCTCCTCCACAGATGGAGGAAGGACTCATGAGGTTCCACCTCCCCCAAGGAAATATTAATCGTTTATGGTTGCAGGGGGAGAGAGAGTAATTTTCTTCAGAGATGTAGACAGTGGTAAGTTGTCCATGCTCCAGGAAGGAACCCCTTACCCACGCTCATACGAGTAACCCAAATTAAACTCAATATATCATACACACACAAAAATGAAAGCAGGAAAGGCCTAGTTGGGGAGAAGAATGGGATCAGCAGGAGTGCTGGGGAGAAATAGAGGGCAATGGAGGATGAATATGTTCACAATACATTGTATACATGCATGAAGTTGTCAAAGATAAAAACTGCAAGCGTTTATATATAAAAAAGACATGGTCACTTTCGAATGTCAAAAAATTGGAGCTTGGGGGATTGTTCAGTGCTGGACAGATGTCTCAGTGGTTAAAAGAACTGGCTGCTCCTGCAGAGGACCCAGGTTTGGTTCCCAGCACCCATCCAAAGGCTAATAACTGTCCATAACATCATTCTGGGGGAACCTCATGCCCTCTTCTGGTCTCTGTGGACATGGCATACATGCAGTTAAATGTAGACTAAACCCTCTATACACATAAAATAAAAAATTAATTAAAAATTAAAAAATATATTTTGCCATCAAATGGATATAATAAAGTTTTGCTAGGTCTACAGAAAGTCACTTAACCCACAATATAGATAAGCTGTACTAGTTACTTTTCTGTTGCTGTGATAGGACACCATGAGCAAGGCAACTTATAGAAGGAACAGTTTGTTTGGCTTATGGCTCCTGAGGGACAAGAGTTCACCATGGTGTGTGTGGGGGACATGGCAGAAGGCAGCTGGAGTAGAAAAATGAGTAGTGCTCACATCTTCACAAATGCCCAGGAAGAGAAGAGGGAGAGGGAGGGACAGAGGGAGGGAGGGAGGTACAGACAGAGAGAGGGGAGAGGGAAGGAGGGAGGAGAGAGAGAGAGAGAGAGAGAGAGAGAGAGAGAGAGAGAGAGAGAGAGAGAGAAAGAGAAAGAGAGAGAGAGAGAGAGAGAGAGAGAGAGAGAGAGAGAGAAAGTGAAAGTGGGAGACTGGGCTATAAATTCTCAACACCTCCTTCCAGTGACATACTTCCCCCAGCAAACCCACCTTTTCTAAATTTTCTATAACCCTCCCCAAACAGCACCACCAACTAACCAAGAGCTCAAGTACTTGGAGCCTATGGGGGACAATTCTCATTCAAACTATCATGTAAGCTAATGGACTACTAATAATATGAAACTAAATTGACATTTGAAATAAAATCTCAATCATATGAAGGTGTGGTGGCTGATATTTGTAATTGTAGCCATCTCTAGGTTGAGGCATGAGGATGGCAAGTTCAAGGCCAAGCTGAGTTACTTAATCAAACTGTCTTGAAATCAACCAATCAACCAACCAACCAACCAACCAACCAACCAAACAAGCAGAACAAGAACTCAAACCAACCCTCCTACCCCCCCAAAACAAACCCCTAAAGACCATCAATCATTCTGAAACATAAGTATTTATTTGATAACATTGAGTCCTAAGATGATCATATTTTGCATAAAATTTCATCTCAATTCAAAGCTTACATAATATGTGGAGGACTATTTGCTTGTACAAAAATTGGCCCTTCTATAATTCTGAGAGGTTTTTTGTTATTATAATTACATTACAGGCTAATACATACTTTGTTAGAAAGGAGTTTAAGACTGTCTAGGAGCAAGAGAGGAAACATCTAATACAGACTGGGAGTAGATGAGGCTTCTTGGAGGAGGTGCTACCTTTTTAAAATCCTGAATGATGTCAAAGATTTAGTGATGAATGGGAGATGGAAAAGGAATTCCAGATGAAAAGAGCATTGTTTTTAAAGTTTCAGAGAAAAAGAGAGAATGTCACTGTTTAGAACTATAAGTTACTTAGAATAATTGGTAGGAGATGGGGAATGAACCAAGGATGTTAAGTGTTAAGAAATTAGTTCATGTTAAGGAATTTATACTTGATCCTACAGCAGAGGATTATTTGAAGGGTTTTTCCCATTTCTAACTTTTTTAACCCTACAAAAATTTGAGATATACTTCACATATAATAAAATGCCATTTTTAAGCAAGAGATTTGATAAACACACACATCTTTGTAACCTCCACCCAGCTCCAGATAT